AGAGTCTCGTGGGCCAGGAGGCGACACGAGCAGGGGGCAGACTCAGGGCCAGACCGGGACACTGCAGCAAACACCTGACCCGACGCGGCTACCTGACTAGGAGGAGACTCAGTGGTAAGGGTGTACAGGCTGGACCCTGGCCTACGGGTGAACGTGGCCAGGTGACGACCCGTCCGAGCACACGTGCAGTGCGTCACACGCTGGTAGGCAGGGGTGAACTGGTGAACACCCCCATCCTGAAGATCAGCACCCGCCACCAAGTTCGTAGAGAACGAGGGGAGGTGAAGACCAGACAGCGAGCCGGACGGAGCAGCAGGACACGGGAGGACAGTGGAGGAACGGGCCACAACTGGTCCCCCAGAGGGGTCAGCCAGAGAGACTGCCACCGGCCGACTGAGCGGCGAGAGTGTGGTGCAGTCGCGAAAGAAGGAACGGGAAGCACCCGAGTCAAGGGTGAAAGTGTGCAAGACCTGAGTCGACGCGGTACCTGAGAGAGCAGCCTCACCAGCACCTGGAGCAGCAGACTCACTAGCACCTAGAGCAGCAGCCTCAATGCCCGGGTTGGGCGGAACACACAGGTAACAGTCACCCTCAGCACTAATAGACACAGCATACATAGCAGCAAGGATAGCATCATAATCAAGATCAAAGATAGCAACCCCCGACTTAAGCAGAATATCCCAGCGAGGGATCTCAGAGGAGCCAGGGAACTGAGTACGCCAGGCGTCAGTCAGGCGGCCGAAGCAGCGTGGTGTGGTGTGCGGGCCTCCGCACGTCTCTCCACTGCGGTCGCCGGTGCGAAGAACGTAGGTGCAGGGACAAGCACCCCCAGACCTCCCACGCCCAGCGTACCACTCACGGAGCTGCTGAGGCGACGGGGTCTCACGGGAGCGCTGCTGCTGCTGGCGCTGGCCACCACTCGAGCCTCCCCGCTGCCCACCACCACCCCCGCCACCCCCACCTCCTCCGCCGCCGCCGCCACCTCCACCCCCACTCCCGCTGCCTCCGCCGCCTCCACCTCCACCGCCGCCACCGAAGCCCCCACTCCCGCCACCACTCCCACCTCCACCCCCACCCCCTCCTCCTCCACCGCCACTACCGCCGCCCCCGCCATCCCCTCCACCCCCCTTGCCCCACTTGCCCTTGCTGTTGCGGCGCTTGCCACTAGGAGCAGACGCAGCGCCGACTGACTCGGTGCCAACGAGGTCGACAGCAGCAGCAGAGGCAACAGAGGGCAAAAGAGGGACGGGGGAGAACCCCTCAAAGAATGGGGCACGAGGGTCACCTCGAGAGGCTCCTACAGCGACTATACTCTTCTCAGCTGCAAGGAGGCGCTCCTCGAGGAGGTCAACGGTTAGCGTGGTGGGGCAAAGAGATAGGAAGTGGTCCCTGACCGAGCAAAGGGAGTCAGGGAGCCGGGTAACAAGGTAGTAGAGAGTGATGTATATAGGGGGGGGGTTCTTGGCGCAGAACTCGGTAGGAAGCGCAGAGCGGTAGCGGGTGTCACTAGTGCGGAGGTGCGTAATGAGGTCAGCGACTGTGGCAAAAGCGGCTAGGTCAGGGAACAGGTACGGCAGCATGAGGCGGCTAAGGGCAGCAGTGGCAGGGGAGGAGTAGCGCGCAACAACAGCAGTGTACAGAGTGCTAGCAGTCTTGTACTGGCTAAAGTGTGCGCGCTCAGCAGACGGCAGGTGACTACGGACAGCAAGACGGGCAGCAGCATCGCGCGTGATCCACTGTGAGCGAACAGTACTGGCAGCATCAGCAGCAGGTGCATTCATGAGGTACCCCACCGACTGGGCCCTCTGGAGTGCTACGGACCACCTTTGCCGGAACTGATGCAGAAACTTTGCGGCCTGGAAGGAGTGAGGGTCGGCGTTGAAGTGTCGCCGAGCCGCCGTGTCTGCTAACAGCTTCAGAAAGGTTGGGACCTCTGCACAGGGGCAGCCATAGGTGTCAACCGCCAGAGGGAAGAAGCCCACCGAGTCCGGCCTTGCCTCGTAATGCTTGGTTTTCTTGTCTGCCTGTTCTCTCGCCGCCCATCCGCGCCCTTTTACCGCCTCAGGGTCCCTTGTGCTGATGGGATCTGTCTGTGATTGTAACGTCGCAGATATAGACCGCCCCTGAGCTTCTGTCCCGGATCGTGAGATCTGCCGTCTGCTCCTCAATGGGGCAGTAGGCTGCTGATTCCCCGTGTACAATAAATCCTGCGTCTTCCGCCATGCTGATGCAGGCGTCGCGCAGCTCGTTGTGCGTGTTTATCCGATGCTTGCCTGTCCCGCAGCGGAAGAGGTGGTTTGGTAGCCTGGGGTATGTGATGGCGGTGTGTTTGGAACAGTCGCACTTAGCCGGCGTGGAAAAGGGCAGTCCTAGCCTGAAACGGAGGGCGTTGGAGAAGTGTTCTGGGCCCAATCTCCTGTTCGTCGCAATGGGGATGGCGAGGAGCCAGTCACCGGCACCGTAACCTGTCAGAGAGAATAGGCGCTGCGTGTGCCCGGACAATGGGTTTAGGCCCATGCGTCGAGACTCCAGTACTTGTCTGGCATACCTGCTCCCCTGCACCTGTACCGCCATGGCGTGCTGTAGTTTCACCCCTGTCGGCTCCATCCTCTCCTTCTCCAGTATCTCAAGTGCTTCTCTAGGGATCTTAGCTTCGCATTCCATCAGCCATGCATGAAGGGGGGAGGTGCTCTCCCGTGCCAGTAGCATATGGTTTCTGGCGGCGGACAGGATGTCGTCGGGCTCGAGGGGCAGTGAGGTGAGTAAGAGCGCTGCCTGGGTAAAACTCGCTAGGAAACCGTAGATACCTTCCACTGTGGGATCGGCCAGACCTATTCCGCCTAGTGACGGCGGTAGGGACGACTGCTCCCAAACTCGATGCTGTTCGTCGTCGCTCGTGGGGAAACGGATGCCACATGAAGCTAATAGTGTGGCTAGCAAGTCCCTGCCCCACTGTGTCCATACGTTGCTTGATAGGAGGTTGATCGGTGTCGTCCGTGTGAGGTATGCCACCCTACGTGAGATGCAGCGTGTGAGTAGGAGCGACGCTATCTGAGGGTCTGTGTGCTCCAGAATCGGTAGTGGCTTGGCCATTATGCGAAGTTGCTCGTCCAGGAATGAAGCGGCGCCGTCTGTAGTGCCGAGGTAACTGCCTAGTAATCTAACGCCGTCGTCGCTAAAGGGTACCCCGCTGGGCAATCGTAACTCGCTGGCGTTGCGTGTAGGACTCCATGCTTCGCATTTCGCAGGGTTGTGTTGCAAGCCTACTAGCGCTAACTGCCTGGTGAAGTGAGAAAATGCAGCCGTTGCCTCGTCCGCGTCACCTAGGAACGTGACGTCATCGGCGTATGCTAAGCAGAGTACACCTGGGTATGCGGCTGCCGTCATGCGTAGTGCGGGGTGGATTCCGGCTGCGAAAAGGAATGGTCCGAGGGGGTCTCCTTGCCTGACGCCACGCTCGCTCCTAAGCGGACCACTATCGAAGCCGGCGTCTAGGTACAGCAGCGAGGGTTGACCGTAGGTGAGTTTTACTAGGGGCAGTAGAGGTGAGAGGGCTTCGTCCTGTAGCGCTGTCACTATTGCCTGCCTAGAAATGCTGTTGAAAGCATTGGAAATGTCAGTCTGTAATACAAGGCAGTTTGGCCGTTCGTCAACGAAAGCTCGCGCCGTGTGGATTATTGCCTCTGCGCCGCCCGGTATCGCCACGCCATACTGCAATGGGAGGAAGTAACTGCGTGCTGCTTCTCCCATGGCTGTCAGAGCGGCCTTTGCTGCGAGTCTAGTCAGGCACTCACCAATAGCTATAGGACGTGCCCCTCCTCCTGGTTTGGCTAAGGCGATGAGGCGTGACCCCGTGAGTAGCTCTGCTACTGGCTCTGGTAATTTGCCGCCCAGCACAGTGTTAACCAAGGCGTGTAGCTGGGTGCTGACCGATGCATTGGTAATGGCCGCATCGCGCAGATGTTCGAAGGTTGTACCACACGGGCCAGCCCCCACACCATTCTCGCATCGGCTCAGCAACTTGACAAATTCCGCGTGGGAAATTGCCAGTTCTGTCGCCTGGGTGTCAGTTGGCCAGGTCAGCAGTTCGGACCCTGCCGGAGGGTGTTTGTCGCGTAGCTCGTCCAGGACTCGTGGACTCGGCGTGCACACCGGCGTTGACTCCAGTGCCAGGACCGCACGGCGAAGGCTGCCGCGCTTTGCCAGTCCCTCCGCCCTGCTGATGACACCGGTGTCGTCAGGTTGGTGTCGGGGCGATGGCGGTGTGTTGACTGCTTGCGTGGCGTCAGAGTATAGCTGCTCCCATTCGCCACGCTGAAACGAGCGAAGCCTGGCCTTGATTTTTGACCAGTCAGGATGTCTCGGTGATGCTTGGCGAAGAGTCAGGCGCGGGAGAAATAGCAGGAGACGCCATGCTGCTATGGATTCGGGGTGTCGCGACAAGTGTAGGAGTGGGGTCAGTAGGGCCAGCGAAAACAACAGGCATAGTTTCGGCGGTAATCGCCGTGACAGCGGTGGCTGGCGACTATCGCACAGGGGTGCTAGATCCCAGGTCGCGACGCTGTCAGTGTGCCTCGCCAACTCCTCTGGCGAGAAATAGCGCAGGTTCGAGGGCAGGGATGACAGATTGGGCAAGCAATGTGCGGCTCGTGGTCCTCGTGTGCGGTTCGATGCTTGGGATGGGGATTGGGTTGGATTTACAGCCGCCCGATTGCCATCGTGCGGTCCTCCTACACCTCCAGGCTGCTCTGCTTCCCTCCCCTGGGCCCTGTTGTGTCTGCTTCCATCTCCTTCCCTCTCCTCCCCATCGCCATCTTCACTGCTGTCACTGGGAGCCTGTGCCTCTTCTCTATAAGTTGGGTCTGCTCGCTCTTCCTCCTCATTCGTAGTCAATAAGTTCGTTAAAGCCGCTCGCCCTGCTATTTGGAACGCGTTTTCCGGGCCTCCGCCCACGCTGCCAGCTGCTCGTCTCCTTCTACCTCGTCCTCCTCTACCCCGCGATGGTGATTGAAGGCGGGTCTGAGCCGTCGCCAGCGCACGCTGTCTCTGCGTCTGAGGTGTACGGAAGATCCCCGCCTGTGCCTGCCTCAGAAACTGCCGCGATGAAACCGCCGCTGCCGCCTGCACCGACACCTGTTCGGCCCGTCTCTCAGGCACCGTCTCTCCCAAATCCCGCCCCGCTGGTTGTTCCGCCGCGTGTGGATGCGGTGGTTGTTCCTCCTGCTCCCGCTCACGTGGAGTCCCTTCCTGCAGCCCCTGCTGAGCCAGCTGGTCAGGTTCCTCCCGTCGCTCTTGGCGCGTCGCCAGTCGCCGCTGCCCCTGTGGTGCCGGCTGTCGCCGAGGGCTCTGCCGCGCCGGTGATGTCGCAAACGGCGGTGTCCGCCACCACTGCCGGCCAGTCCCTCGTGGTGGGACCTGTTGAAGCTCCCGCCCCTCCAGCTGCGGCACCATCTCTGCCGCTCCCAAACGTCCAGGCGGTGCCTGATCCTGCGTCGCTCGCTGCTGTTCCCCCTGCTCAGCGACAGCAGTCTCCGGGCCGCCGGCAGCATCGACCTCACTCCCCGGCGCCAAGTGACGAGCGAGAGACAATGCGGCGGCGACGCGACTCTCCTCGGCGCCGTGGTTCCCAGGCGAACTGGGCTGCGTCCCGCGGTGGTCGCGGTGGCTGGTGGGGAGGGCGCGGGCGTGGTGGTGAATGGGGGTATGATCGGCCGGTGTCGATGGCCGATCTGCAGCGTGTTGTTTCTGCTGCAGTGCGCGAGGAGCGGAACGGGCAGGCGAGCCAGAGCAATTCGCCTCGCGTCGCTCCGACGCGTGCGTCCGTTTCTCCAGCTGCCCCGCATGCGCCGGCGCCTCCTCCTCCCCAATCGGGCGATCCTCCTCCTCATGCTCCCTCTGCATCTGCTGCTGCTCTTGGGCATCGCATGCGTCTGCTGTGGGTCCCTCCTGTGGCGGGTATGGAGTTCGTGACCGCGGCAGGGGGACCCGTGACAGGTCAGTATCCATCTCTGCTGCCCGTCGCTTCTGCTCCGCCGGCTGCTGCACTACCTCATCAGTCGCTGGTGGGGCCCTCTCTTTCCGCTGTGGTGCCGGAGGCGTCTCTGGGACAGCTGTGGCGCCTCTCTGAGGGTCTGCGGGCTGTTCACCTGATTCAGGTGTATGGTCACGCGGCTCTCTCCCAGGGTCTTCCTCTGGAGAGTGGCCATCGGGACGAGTGCCTAGATGCCGCTGATCGGCTGGGCGAGCTCCTGGCGCCCGTGTTGGCTGCGCCCGCGCGGGGTGGAGTTGCGGGCGTTGGACAGCTTGGGACGGCGGTCCGTGGGCTGCGCCGGTTTTTGTGCGCAGGGACTGCAGTCGACTTGATCGGCGCAACCACTGTGGTGGTGCACGAGCTTCATCGCTCGTTGACGGGTCTTCTCGCCGTCCTTGACGCGGATCAGATGTAGCGTCCGCCTCTTCCTGCGCCGTGTTGTTGCCGTGTGTTGTCCTAGGCAGGTGTAGGTGATACCATCGCTTGTATGTCTTGAATTATAGTTGCTTGTCCCTTCTCCCTTGCCGTCCCCTCACGCGCGGCCGAAGGCCGCGCTGTCGAGCGCTGGCCGCCGAAGGCGGCCGGCGCGAGGAAAATTTTCTGCCACCAAACAGAATAATGAAGAGAAGAGGCCCTGAAAGGCCCCTTATATAGCTCAGAAGGGAGAGGGCAGAGGGCAAAGGGAGAGGGCAGAGGCTAGGATCCTCTCTCTCTCTCTCTCGCTCTCTCGAACGAACGAGGAAAATTTTCTGCCACCAAACAGAATAATGAAGAGAAGAGGCCCTGAAAGGCCCCTTATATAGCTCAGAAGGGAGAGGGCCGAGGGCAAAGGGAGAGGGCAGAGGCTAGGATCCTCTCTCTCTCTCTCTCTCTCTCTCTCTCTCTCTCTCTCTCTCTCTCTCTCTCTCTCTCTCTCTCTCTCTCTCTCTCGCTCGCTCTCCCCACGCGCACACTTTTGCTAATGCCCTTCCCCCCTCCACACGCACTGTATCTCGCTCACCTCCACATGCAATCTTTGTCTCGCTCTCCCACACACACATACTCTATCACTCTCATATGCACTTGCTCTCTTGCCCTCGCCACACACACTCTCTCTCACCTTCCCTTCGCACTCTTTCACTCTTCCCAGACCACCCTCACTCTCACTCTCCCCGCTCCACCATCACTCACTCGCCCTCCCCACTCTTACTGTCGAGCTCTCTTGCTCTCTTGCCCGCCCCACTCTCACTCTAACGCCACTCGCTTCTTTGCCCCCAAACCTGTGTTCAACGGCAGTGTTCAAGTGGATCGTTTGGATGCACAAGCACAACTTGGTGGCCATTGGCTCTGTGCTTGGCAAGGCGGCGAAGCAGGGCACTGTCAAGCTCTCGACCAAGTCAAGCAATCGGGATTACACGGGGTACTTTGCCAGCAGCGTTGGCAATGACAGCCACAATGGCATGAAGATTGCCCTGATTATTGAATGTGATGGGGTATGTTGATGGATGTACGGTACTAGTTTGTGTACTGGTATTTGTTGGATAAGGGCGTGTGTCCTCGGGGTCGAGCTTTGGCCAAGATCGACCTTTCAGAGAGGTTCTAGACAGTAGGATACAGTTGAGAAAAGTGTCGCCACGGTGCAAAGCGGTTAGAGTTCCAACTTCAACAAATTTTGCCTAAGGACATGCGCCCTAAGAAGTCATTTTTTTTTAGAGTGATGATTACATTGTAGCTGCATCTTTGGGGCTGGCAGAGTGTGGCAGTGTAAGGAAATTTCCTTTTCCTTACGCCGCATCTCTGCGTAACGCGTACATTACTGTTCTCACCACACTCGGCACCGTTACCACTCGCGACCCTCGCTTCGACAATCTTCCCGCCACTTCGCACATCGCAACCCAACCTCCCGGCTCGGCTGGTAACCCGCGCTCCGGGCCTCCGCTTCGGCACTTTCCCAACCTCAGTCCTGACCTCAGTCACAGGCCCGTCGCGCGTCAACCACAGTTCGTTACCGTTACTACCACTGTGGCCTTCGCTATTTAGTTCTCGCTCATTCCTTCGCTCATTGTACTGTTTTGCTTCGATAGTGCAATTCTCGCTCGCTCGCTCAATTGCACTCGAAACACTTGGTATTCAGAGCCTACAATCTTCTCTCGGACCGCACCCACACCTTCGCTTCCCCACTATCTCAATTTTGGGGGGGGGGTAGACGTCTCTCAGCGAACAAGCACCGCCGCTCAAAGTGCTCTCTCGTAAGCACGCACGGCCACGACCGAGGCTCCCGCTGAGCTCGCCCGACACCCCCTCCATGGCTGAATATAATGTCGCGACATTGACGCAGGAGCAGCTCGACCGCCTCGTGAGCCAACTCGAGAATTCGGCTCTCGAAGTCGCGACGCTCACGGCGGAACTCGACGCCGCCCGCCGGCAGTCAGCAACAAACGCACCTGCACCAACACCAACACCTGCAAATGTACCTGCACAAACGGACGAGCCGATCGTCATTTCGTCCGGCACACCGTCGCAGCACGACAGCGTGGGACAGCGCTCAAGCGTAGCCAGTGATGGCGCCGCCCAGTCAATGCCTGGCATGACGAGGACCAGGGCCATTCCGACCGTGAATCCGCCGCGCGAAACGTGCCGTCACGTCGAATTTACGGCACCAGCAGGCAACGACGACATTTACGAGCCGATGCCGCTCAAGCCGCAACGCCCGCCCTATTTCGATCCTAGCCAACGTGGATTTTCACGATGAACGCGTTTTTTGACGCTAATTACGTCATCTCGGACGCAGCGAAGATTCGATATGCAGTTTCGCTGCTACGGGGCCCCGCCATGGACTGGTGGCGAGTGATCGTTACCTCGCCGCATGCCTACGAGCCGCCGTCGCGAGAGGAAGAGCCCACGGGGCCAGCCGTTACCTGGCGTTCCTTCTGCGAAACAGCCTAGTATAGCACGTGGGATGCGTGGTGCGCGGGACTATGAGCGCGTTTCGAACCTATCGCGGCTTCGATTTCGACGCGGCAGAAACTTCGCACTTAGCGACAGCTCGGGTCGGTTCAAGACTACACCAGCGGTTTTCTCGCTCTGTGCGAGCAGGTCGGCTATATGCACGAGGCGGAGCGGGTGGATTGTTACGTCGGAGGGCTGAAGCCGGACATCTCGCACGAGATTATGCTTCGTGGGCTATCGAACTTCAACGAAATCCTAGCGCTCGCCGAGAAAATCGATATCCTACGCCGACCGAGACCGGGGTCCTACTACGGACATCGCCCTCGGGGGCCGATCGAGCACGCCACCGTACACGCCGTTGCGGCGAATGCAGCTGCTGGGCCATTTTCGGGGCGCTGCTTCGCTTGCAACAGGCCGGGACATCGCGAGAGCGAATGCCCTGAGGAACTAAGGCGCCGGGGAGCAGAGCAGGGGAGGGAGTCTCAGAGGCAGGGAAACGCCAGCAGTCAGTAGAAGTCGGGCCAACTACTGACGAGACAGCCTGCTCGCCCAACCTCACCGACCCTCACCGAGTCACAGTACCGATTCATGCTATCGATCGGGCTCGGATGAATACGGAGTGTACAGCGTAGGATTGTCCAATATTGATCTATGGGAAAATACACGGAACAGCAGTCAAGTTTTTTATCGACGAAGGAGCAAGTCACATCTTAGTTAACACCGCGACCGCCCGAAAAAATCAACTGACACTTAACCGCTGCTTACCGGAGATAGACGCACGCTTAGTCGACGGCACGCCTCTGGCCATACGGGAGAAAGTGGAGAGAGTGAAGGTCCGCTGCGGGGTAACTTTGGGTTTACACAGGAAATGCTCGCGACGACACTGGATATGCATGGCATTTTACTGGGACGTGATTGGCTGCGACGCTACAATCCGCGAATTGACTGGACGACAGGCAGCTGCACTGCGCGAAGCAGCGGTAACTGTGTCGAACTACCTCGCTGGCAGTCGCCTGAGTCTTCAACGGTCCACGTCAACGCCATCACGATGAATCGGGTTGTCGCCGCTGGAGCTGACGTGTACGCAGTAGACATTGCAGCAGCAGAGGCGCTAAGTGATTTTCAGAAACTGCTTGAAGCTGTACCGCCCGAACTACAGGAACTGTTGAAACGGTACCCGGGATTTTCCTGGATGACTTACCGGAAGGACTGCCACCTCACCGCGCAAACGACCACAAGATAGAGTTAGAACCGGGGGCACAACCAACTGTACAGCGACAGTTCAGACTGGCACAGCCCGAACTCGACGAACTAAGGAAGCAGTTATATTACCTGTTAGAGAAGCAGTTCATCCGACCGAGCTCGTCACCGTTCGCCGCACCGATACTGTTCACACCGAAAAAGACGGAGGGTTTCGCATGTGTATTGACTACCGAGCACTGAACCGAGAAACCATAAAATCACGATACCCGATTCCCCGCACTAACGAACTGATAGATCAACTGCGAACAGCTCGAGTATTCTCGAAGATTGACCTACGGGGTGGTTACCACCAGATTCGAGTCGAACCGTCAGACTGCGCCAAGACAGTTTTTAGAACTAGATACAGATCTTTCGAGTACACCGTCATGCCCTTCGGGCTGACCAACGCCCCTGCCACTTTTCAGATGACCATGAACGAGGCTTTTAGACCGCTTTTAGATAAATGCGTAATAGTTTACCTCGACGACATCCTCGTTTACAGCCGCGACAAGCAGCATCATTTAATGGACTTAAAAGCAGTGTTTAAGATTTTAGATGAAAACCGCCTACTGACCAAGGGTTCCAAGTGTGAGTTTTTCCAAGACAGGCTAGAGTTTTTGGGGCACGTAATTTCGGAGGCTGGAGTCGAAATTGACCCGAAGAAGCTAGACACGGTAAAAGCGTGGCGACCCCCGACGAATCTCACTGAACTGCAGAGTTTTTTAGGGTTTGTTAATTACGTTCGTCGGTTCGTCCCCGACATGGCGCGATTAACTGCCCCGCTGACTAACCTACTGCGGAAGGGGGTAGGGTTTACGTGGGGGGAGAAAGAGCATGCTGCCTTCTCTGCCCTAAAAATTGTTCTCTGTACATCGCCCGTACTGTGCATTGCCGACCCCCACCGCCCTTTCGAAGTCGTTACGGACGCAAGCGACATCGCCACCGGAGCTGTACTGTTACAGGACTTCGGCAACGGCCTACAGCCCATCGCATATGAATCACGAAAACTGCATCCGCCCGAGAAGAAGTATCAGATGCACGACCGCGAAATGCTCGCGATCGTGCATGCATTCAAAGTCTGGTGCTGTTACTTGACCGGCACAGACGTGACAGTACGGACAGACCATAAATCTCTACAGTACCTCCGCGCACAACCCCACCTCAACCCACGACAGGTCCGCGGGCTCGATTTCCTCAAGTCAAATTTTCATTACACGGTCACCTACAAAAAAGGGGCATCGAACATCGCCGACGCACTGACCCGCCCCACTTCCCAAATCCATGCAGTACTACTCGCCCAGACCAGCCCGCTACTGACAGGACTATTTACCCATGGATATCAAACAGACCCATTCTTCACAGGCGGAAATTCGCAGCATTTCGCAGCAGCAAAAGGGATTTATTACGTAAAAGCCGGCACCGACCGCATCTGGGTTCCGGGGTACACTTTACTACGGGAGCTGCTATTACAGGAGGCACACGACGGAATTACCTCAGGTCACTTCGGGGTAGAAAAGACACGGCAGCAGTTGCAGCGGTATTACTACTGGCTAGAAATGTTGACCGACGTGCAACGACACGTGGCATCGTGCCCCACCTGCCAAATCATGAAGTCATCACGGAAGCGGCCGGCAGGACAGTTGCAGCGGATACCACCCCCAGAGCATGCTTGGCAGCAGGTGACGATGGACTTCGTCATGGGGTTACCGGCTGGGGCAAGTGGGAACGACGCAATCCTGGTCGTCGTCGATCGACTCACGGAAATGGCACATTTCGCAGCATGTAAGAAATCAATCTCGGCTGAAGAAACAGCTCGGCTCTTCATCACCACCGTCGTTCGACTGCACGGGATACCAGCATCCATCATCAGCGATCGAGACACGAAGTTTACCAGCAACTTCTGGCGGAACCTGTGGCAGCAGTTCGGCACACGACTACAGTTTAGTTCATCGTACCACCCCGAAACCGACGGACAGACAGAACGGACAAATCAGACCATGGAGCAACTGATCCGAGCCACGTGCGATGACCCCACCACGTGGGAACAACAATTGCCACTCATTGAGTTCGCGTACAACAATTCGCCATCCGCCACGACCCAACAGTCACCGTTTTACCTGAACTACGGACAAGACCCTACAGTACCCATGACCCCGAATCCCGACAACCCCATACCTCGCGCACAGCAGTTCGCGGAAATTTTACAGGCAGCACGGACCCGGGCAACAGACGCAATTAAAAAAGCCAATATCATCGCTAAACGCAACGCCGACCGCCACCGCCGACCTGTTACTTACCAGCCCGGCGACCTAGTTTTACTCGACACCCAAAACCCCCGCCTACCCATCACCCCAAAACTTCGCCCCCGATATTGCGGGCCATTTCGCATCAGCCACATGATCACACCCGTCAGCGCTCACCTCCTCCCTCCCGCTGACTGGTACGTCAGCCCGTCCTTCCACGTCAGCTTACTCCGCCCCTACGTACCATCCACGAGCCACCTGCCCCGCAACCGCCCAGCAAGCATGACCCGACCATCATCATCACACCGAGCCCATCATCACACGCGAGAAGATCCTGAGTCACCGAGTTCGAGACCCACGTGGAGCTCGCAGGATCGAGTTCCTGATACGCTGGAAAGACCGCACGCCCACCGAAGACAATTGGGTACCCCTGGACATAATAAAAAACCACCCCGTCCTCACCGAGTATCTGCGCAGCCGCAATTTCTGAGATGTACACGCACTCTCGTAAGGAGGGCCTCCTTAGAGGGGGGGGGGGGGGGGGGGGGGGGGGGGGGGGGGGGGGGGTAGTGTAAGGAAATTTCCTTTTCCTTACGCCGCATCCCTGCGTAACGCGTACATTACTGTTCTCACCACACTCGGCACCGTTACCACTCGCGACCCTCGCTTCGACAATCTTCCCGCCACTTCGCACGTCGCAACCCAGCCTCCCGTCTCGGCTGGTAACCCGCGCTCCGGGCCTCCGCTTCAACACTTTCCCAACCTCAGTCCCGACCTCAGTCACAGGCACGTCACGCGTCAACCACAGTGGCCTTCGCTATTTAGTTCTCGCTCATTCCTTCGCTCATTGTACTGTTTTGCTTCGATAGTGCAATTCTCGCTCGCTCGCTCAATTGCACTCGTAACAGGCAGCTTGACTGCATGCAACCCTGCATGTGCCCCACTAAACGTGGAGGAGAAATAAATTATTTCCACAGATTCCTCTGCAATGGGGCAAGGACGGGATGGTTGATGTGCTACTCTAGATTGGTTGATTATTTTTTTCATCTCGGTTTCTGGTTCAACTTGGGGCTACGGCTGGCATCGCCTACTGAACCTTGCTTGCACATCCTGTAGGCTCCGTGGAATTCACTCTCATCCCCCTGAACCTGAACCTACCAATGTTCCCGCCTTCCTCACTCCCGTGCCGCGCCAGGATCTCAAGTAGTTCAATTGTTTTGCAGTTGGTGAGGGGAGCTGGGCTGCGATTGGTTAGCGAGGTGAACAATCTGACGAGGTGTGAAGCGAGGGGTGCGAAGTAAAGACAAATCGCAAGTTCAGTCCGAACCAAGCAAGGCTCGGAAACTGGTTCGGTGACGAAGCTCCAATGCCTGCAATTTCTCGTCACACACAACAATCTCATGTACCAGCAAAATGTTTTGCATTTGCTCTAGGGGCAAAATCGTGGATGTGCCGCACGCTCACTTTCCTAACCAGCCAGTCAATTCGCCTACAAAAATAGGGTAACAAGCGCTGCAAGTGTTTTGCAATTGAAGGCCAATTCTCTTACTTGAGATCCTGGCTTTAACATTCCCAACGACGCAAGAAGCCTTCTTACCAACCAAAACGGAGTTGCTAGACGTCAAGAGGTGTACCGTAATAAACAACTTTACAACATGGGAGTGTCAACCTTCTAGGGTTATACAACAAGGTTTGTCTATGGAACAGGGCGAGCATCCAAGAGGAGCTAAAAAAGGGCACTACCAGCTCTCTCACTTCTTTCCTCCCTTGCCACCCTTTCCCCCCTTTCCACCCTTGCCGCCCTTCCCTCCTTTCCCCCCCTTCGCCCCCTTCACACTCTGAGTAGTAGAGTTCGAACCAACAGAACCCCCCTGATCCCCGCCAGGTCCCCCTTGCTGGCCGCCCTGCTGTCCGCCATGCTGTCCGCCAGGTCCGCCCTGCGGTCTGCCCTGCTGTCCCCCCTGCTGTCCGCCTTGCTGTCCCCCCTGCTGTCCGCCCTGCTGTCCGCCCTGCTGTCCGCCAGGTCCGCCCTGCTGTCCCCCCTGCTGTCCGCCCTGCTGTCCGCCTTGCTGTCCGCCAGGTCCGCCCTGCGGTCCGCCCTGCTGTCCCCCCTGCTGTCCACCCTGCTGTCCGCCTTGCTGTCCGCCCTGCGGTCCGCCCTGCTGTCCCCCCTGCTGTCCGCCCTGCGGTCCGCCCTGCTGTCCGCCCTGCTGTCCGCCCTGCTGTCCGCCCTGCTGTCCGCCATGCTGTCCGCCAGGTCCGCCTTGCTGTCCGCCCTGCTGTCCGCCCTGCTGTCCGCCAGGTCCGCCTTGCTGTCCGCCAGGTCTGCCCTGCGGTCCGCCCTGCTGTCCCCCCTGCTGTCCACCCTGCTGTCCGCCAGGTCCGCCCTGCTGTCCGCCCTGCTGTCCGCCTTGCTGTCCGCCAGGTCCGCCCTGCGGTCCGCCCTGCGTTCCGCCCTGCTGTCCGACCTGCTGCCCCCCCTGCTATCCGCCTTGCTGTCCGCCCTGCTGTCCACCCTGCGGTCCGCCCTGCTGTCCCCCCTGCTGTCCGCCCTGCTGTCCGCCCTGCTGTACGCCAGGTCCGCCCTGCTGTCCGCCAGGTCCCCCCTACTGTCCGCCAGGTCCCCCCTGTTCCCCAGCAGGTCCCCCTGTTCCCCTCCAGTTCCCCCTTGTTCCCCACCAGGTCCGCCCTGCTGTCCGCCGGGTCCGCCCTGCTGTCCGCCGGGTCCGTCCTGCTGTTCGCCGGGTCCGCCCTGCTGTCCGCCAGATCCGCCGCCCAAATCTCCGCCACTTCCGCCGCCCAAATCTCCGCCACTGCCGCCGCCCAAATCTCCGCCACTGCCGCCGCCCAGATCTCCGCCACTGCCGCCGCCACTGCCGCCGCCCAGATCTCCGCCACTGCCGCCGCCCAAATCTCCGCCATTGCCGCCGCTTAGATCTCCGCCATTGCTGCCGCCCAAATCTCCATTGCCGCCGCCCAAATTTTCATCAGCCAGCAAAACTTGTTTGCTTGGATCCGCCTTTAGGAGCGAGAGCAAAAGTTGTTTGGGCGCTCTGAGAGCAAGGCTGCGGCGCGGAGCGAGGAGCCTCGCCGATCCTGCCGCGGATAGCCGGATAGCCAAGCGGAAATGAGGCAAATTGAGAATGCAAGATAAGAGCGCAAGTTCTTAGAGGAGAATTGAAAATGAGATAGAATAATATGGGAGAAAAGAGGAAAAGGAAAAGGAAATGGAAATGAATAATATAGGAGAAAAGAGGAGAAGGGAAAGGAGATGGAAATGGAAATGGACAGAATATTGCGCGCCGAATTGGGACACTCACCCGGCGCTACAACCGACGCCGCGAAAAGCGCGAGCAGAAGAAGAGGCAACGCTGTCCCTCGCATTTCGCAGCCCATCGTGCAGGAATTATGCTCTCCTCCTCCCGTCGTTGGACAGGGATGAGCTAAATACAGCGGAAATGACAACTGACTTGAGGTGACAGAGCTTCAACAATGGGAAAGGCTTGACGGACAGGAGGGCTGAAGTGCGAGTGAAAGCGACGAAGATGCCATTGTGAGTGACGGGTGTGTATTTTTATAGCGTGGTGCGAACGCGGCTCGATAGCATTTGTGGCTTGGTGGGAGGCCTGGGTGGGATTGATTTTGGCGGGATGATGTTTTTCCCGCCAGGTCGAATCCGCGACTTCTGCAACGAGCTCAGGTTTCGCAGGCGCATTTTGCGACAGGGTGATTGGACGGTGCTTGCTTCACGTAGGGTTACAATTTCAATCTGCGACTCCGAAATGACTCGCAAATGCGCTTCCGGCTGTTGCGCCCTACTGTTTGGAGAGGCCACAGGTCTCCACAGAACCTGCGCTATTGTTGAAGCTCGTTGACTGCTTCATCTGTTGAACATCTGGGCTTTGGGAATTTTGGAAAGCGGTTGACGCGGCAGGCCCGCGAAGTGCGCAAGTGCCACAGCAGCAAATAACATGAATGAAATGAGATGTGCGGAACACCCGTTGATAGTTTATCACATATAACCCTTATTAATCCATGCACATAATGTGGGGTGACCGGAGCACCCCAGAGAGAGCAGCAGCCAGGGGGGCAGCCGGGGGCGACCGGAGCATCCCAGGGAGTGCTACAGCCGGGGGGGCAGCCGGGGGTGACCGGAGCATCCCAGGGAGTGCTACAGCCAGGGGGGCAGCCGGGGGTGACCGGAGCACCCCAGGGAGTGCTACAGCCAGGGGGGCAGCCGGGGGGGACCGGAGCATCCCAGGGAGTGCTACAGCCAGGGGGGCAGCCGGGGGTGACCGGAGCGCCCCAGGGAGAGCAGCAGCCAGTGGGGCAGCCGGGGGTGACCCGAGCACCCCAGAGAGAGCAGCAGCCAGGGGGGCAGCCGGGGGTGACCAGAGCACCCCAGAGAGAGCAGCGAGCAGGGGGGCAGACGGGGGTGACCGGAGCACCCCAGAGAGAGCAGCAGCCAGGGGGGCAGCCGGGGGTGACCGGAGCACCCCAGAGAGAGCAGCGAGCAGGGGGGAAGACGGGGGTGACCGGAGCACCCCAGAGAGAGCAGTAGCCAGGGGGGCAGCCGGGGGTGGCCGGAGCACCCCAGGGAACGCAGCAGCCAGGGGGGCAGCCGGGAGTGACCGGAGCACCCCAGGGAGAGCAGCAGCCAGGGGGGCAGCCGGGGGTGACCGGAACACCCCAGGGAGCGCAGCAGCCGGGGGGGCAGTCGATGGACGACCAGGAGCAGCAGTTGGAGGAGTGGTGCCGACTTTTGGAGTTTGATACCCCCATGGCGACTGCGGAGGAGTCAGAGGCGGACGGAGAACCTCCTAGGCCGCCTTCCCCATGCCCCCGTTTTCCGTGTGACACGTGTTTTCACACGTTCGCTACGCGAGGGGCTGCTGCGAACCACATGAGGGTATGCCGGGCGGCTGAGGCGGAGAGGCGCGCGCAGTCAATTGGCTCGATCCCGTCTCTGGTGGAGACCGACACGCAGGAGCGACCGACGCCGCGGGAATTTGGGGACGAGGCGTGGGCCAGGGTTACGTCATGGGAATGGGAAGCATTTTTCAGTGTGGAGGCGGTTGGAGGGAGGACAGTGCGCCGGATCTCACAGCGGGCCCGGTCGGGGGTCTTAGACACGCTCTGTTGCATCTTAAAGCGTTTGAAGAGCCGACCGGGGGATGAAGCCGCTACCCTCCTACTCTTGGCGTTTCCGCGCCTCATCCTAGCCGGGCCTCCCAAGCCAGGCATAGGTCAGAAGGCGCTGATCATAGAGCAGCTGGGGGCGTTATGGGAGGGGAGGTGGTGGGAGCTGTTCGACTCTGCCATGGTGGCGGCGCGGCCAGCAGTTCGTCCACTTGCCTACACTTGCTCTGACTAGGACCCGGATGCCATCCGCCTGTCACGGTGCCGATCTCGGTGTAAAGTGGGAGAGTGGAGCCGTGGATTGGCTTGCCTTACGGCAGGGGAGTTGGCCCGACCGTCTGAGGCCATGGTGCAGTCGCTGCGAGAGAAGCACCCTGCTAACACTGGTGAGGTACCACAGTGTGTCCGTGATTTCACCGTCGATGCTCCTCAGCGGCCTCCACTCACGACCGACATCTTGGCCAAAGCTATCCATACAGCCGCTCGCGCTTCAGCAGCAGGGTCATCGGGGTGGGTCACAGAGCATCTGCGCGACACCTTCCTCACTGAACCTTCTTGCCTTTCCCACCTGTTGGAAGTGTTCAACCAATGGGTGGCGGGACAGGTCCCCGAGCGGGCTCGGCCCTGGCTCGCCGCATCCAACCTAGTTGGGCTTTCCAAGCCTAACGGCGACGTCCGGCCAGTGGCGATTGGGGAGGTGCTTCCGCGTATCCTTGCTCGAGCTCTCTGCATCTCGCTCCGCCCTGCGATGGCTTCCTACTTTCTGCAGTGCAACCAGCTGGGAGCGGGCACCAGGGCCGGGGTGGAGATTCTTACTCATTCTTTCCGGTTAGTGCTGGCGACTCACCCCGACTGGTGTGCGCTGCAGATAGACGTCGCGAACGCCTTCAATTCGTTTCACCGTCATGCGATGTTTGAGGGGCTGCGGGAGTCGCCGTTCTCAGGGTTGATCCCATTCTTGCGTGTTTTCTACGGGACACCTAGCGACCTGTACCTCTGAGCGGGCCCTTTCGTACAGAGCCTTGAGTAGGCACGAGGATCGCGGTAGGGGGACCCGCTCGGCCCTTTTGTTTTCGCGTTCACGCATCAGCAGGTGATGGAGTCGGTGACTAGAGAGTTCAGGGACCTACTTTTCCTGAGTTATGCAGACGATACCTATATCATGGGACCAGCGGCTAGGATTCTAGAGGCTTTTGGGGTGCTGCGGGAGCGGTTGGAGTGGGTGGGGCTGGAGGTGCAGGCGCACAAGTGCCGGTTTTGGGAGAGCGAGGGCGGGGATGTGGAGTGGGCACTGCCATTGGGGATGCAGCGGGTGGAGGAGGGTCTCACTGTGGTGGGCGTGCCTATTGGGGAGGAGGATTGGGAGGTGGTCCGGTTACGGGAGCGGCTTCAACAGTTGCAGGCGCCATTGCCATGGCTCCCCCTGCTCGACCACCCCCACATGGCTTCACATCTCCTCGCCATTGCAGTTTCAGCACGGCCGATGTACCTGGCCCGGACTATGCCGCTGCGCCCGGAGGTGGTGGAGGCCTTTAGAGATTGGGATAGCTGTCTGGAGGATTGCTTTGAGCAGATTTTCCCACCTGGCACTTGGGAGCAGGACCCCGACCGGTCTAGGCGCGCACGCATGCAGCTGCATCTCCCTGTGCGACTCGGAGGGTTTGGGATCCGGGAGGTGGCCTCTTTGAGTCCGCTGTCCTATGTTTGTGGGTGGGCGCAGGCCGCGCGTGATATTGTACAGTTGGGGGTGGCGGGCGAGGAGGCGATGTTTGCAGAGTACCTCACCACTTCGGCAGGGGCGGAGTTTATTGACCCGTGGTTTGCCATGGCTCTTGAGCAGCTGCCTGCGACTATACGCCAGGAGATGCCGAGCTTACCTCTGTGTGTAGTGGCCCCTCCTCTTCGGCTTTTCCAGGCGCGGCAGCGGCAGTTGGCTGTAGAGGAGCTCCAGGCACTGCGCCGCTCGGCTCGTGACGATGCCACCCTGGCCTGTTTCACATCCCTTCAGGGCCGGTTGCTGGTGCATGGGTTTCGGCGGTCCCGGCTCACTCATATCTCACATTCACTGCGGCTGAGTGGGGCATTGCTGCTGCTATACGGCTCGGGCTCCAAATTCAGCAGCTGCAGGTGGCGGGGAGGTGTGTTTGTGGCACAGCGTATGTTGACCCAGAAGACCCGCATCATGCCCTGAGATGCAAGCACCAGCACGGTCCATCTCGGGTGCATGATGAGGTGAAGTTTGCGGTGGCGAGGATCTCTAAGGCGTCAGGGGGGGTGGTGACGATGGAAGATAGTGTGGTGCAGTCGGGGAAGCGGGTTGACGTAGCGGTGCGACGACCAATGGCCGGGGAGGCTCACGCTCTAGAGATCAGCGTCGCGGACCCGCTATCGCTGTCTCCATCTCTGCTAGGGCAGTGCGGGCGTTCTATAGGTGTGGCGGCAAGGGAGTGGGAGCGTCGCAAAACGAGTGATTACGCGCCTCTGCTTGCACGCAACCGGGGCGTTCAGTTCACCCCTTTGATAGTAGAGACGTGGGGGTGTCTCAGCGGTCGTTTCCGGCGGTGGCTTCGTCAGCAGGGGGATGTGCACGTGGGGCTAGCTGTGTCACGGGGGGCTTGTCGGGAGGATGACACTTCGTTTTCGGCTTATCTTTTGGGGTCTCTGAAGGCGCTCATCAGGGTGGCGTTACAACGGGCGCAAGCTCGTGTCATCCTGCTTCGGGCGGCGTCTTCCATGGGGGGGATGAATGTGGATTTGGTGGACCGGGAGAGGGACGACGTCAAGGTGGAGGGCAGGGCGCTTTGGGTGGAGGCCCTGTACATGGTGGATGCACATATGTGATTAAGGGGGGTTGAAATGGGGAGCGGGATGGGGTGTCTTGATGGGGCGTCTTGACTGGGTGTTTTGATTGGGAATCTTTGTCGGAATCAGGAAACAGTAATGATTGACTAAAGCAGGATGAGTGGTACAAGTAGCAACCCTAACAAAGGGTTGTACCCCGTAGGGAGTAACCCAGTATAGCCTAACATCACTAACATGATATAAACATGTTTTGACACACCCCCATAGGCAAAGTGGGGGACAACAAGGGGTCACAAGACCAGTCAAGAGAAGAAGCAAAGCAAAGAAAAGCTCAGGGTGGATCCCAAGATCACCACGCATCCTGAGCACAAGCAAGCGGCCACAAGGCCAGTTCACATGCTGAGTTTATAATAGCAAGAGCAGTACACTGATCACAACCTAGCAAGTGTAAGCATGCAGGTATACTCATATATATCAGTGTACAACAAGAGCAAGATCAAGAGACAAGCAAGTGAGGCAGAGTGGGCACAAGTCCAAGAGCAGTACAGAAACGCTGATGATCACTAGACCCAAGGGCCTTGGTGAAAACATCAGCAGTGTTGGCCCGAGTGGCCAAGTAAGCAAGACGAAGCTGACCACGCTGCTGCAGCTCTCGCGTGAGGAAGTAACGGAGAGCAATGTGCTTCGTTCTGTGCTCCAGTCTCTGGTCCTGACACAAGGCAATCATGGCCTTCTTGTCGACGTACAGAACTGGAGGAGAACGAAGCCGCTCACCCAAGTCGGTCAGCAGGTAGGTCAGCCACCGCAGCTCCTGTGCAGCCATAGCCCCAGCGTAGATCTCGGCCTCACAGCTGGAACTAGGTACAGAAGAAGAGCGAGTGGACCTCCACGAGACAGAACCAGCGCCGAGACTGAAACTGTACCCCTGTGTCGACCGGTGAGTCGTCTGGTGGTCAGCCCAAGAAGCGTCTGAGTGGCCGGTGAGAACAACTGAACCCGGTCCTCCAAGCACGAGCCCCATGCCCAATGTGCTGCACAAGTAACGCAATACCCTCTTCGCAGCATCCCAGTGCATCTTTCGATGCCTACCGGGAGCCACGTAGCCAGCCAAGAGGCAGAGGGTACGCGAGGTCAGGTCGTGTGCACGTCATCAGGTACATGAGGCAACCCACAAGCTCTGGGTACGGACCAATCGGCTCTACAGACTCGTCCGAAGGTGGAGATGAGAGCGAGTGGCCGGTGGCGAGGACCACGTGAAGTCGAAGCGCTGAAGGACCTGCTGCACCATGTGTGACTGAGTGAGGGTGATGGTGCGGCGTGCTCTGTCCCGGGTGATCTGCAAGCCAAGGTAACTCCGCAGCTCACCCAGGTCAGTGCAAGTGTCTCTCTCCTGCAGCTCCCCCTTCACCAAGGCTAGAGCCTCAGTGTCAGCAGTAGCAAAACACCAAGTCATCAACGTACACAAGAACGTAGAACGGCGGCAGAGAAGTGTCTGTGCGCAGAAACAGAGAAGGGTCAGCAGTCGAGGGAGCGAAGCCAAGAGCCGCAAGTGTAGTCCTCATTGTGTCGTGCCACTCGCGGGGTGCCTGTCTAGGCCGTAGACTGGTCGCCTAAGACTCCACTGGGTACCCTCAGGAAACGACCCAGTGAAGCCACGTGGACAGCGCAACCAGATAGCCTCGTGAAGGCTACCCTGCAAGAAGGCTGTCAAGAAGTCGAGGGAGTGTAGCTCGTAGTCACGCTGTGCAGCAACGTGCAGTAGCACCCGAAGAGTGGTCATCTTCGGGGTGGGGGAGAAGGTCTGAAAGAAGTCGACCCCCGCACGCTGACTGAAGCCTCGAGCAACGTAATGCGCCTTGAAGGCAGGCGGAGAACCCGGCGGCCGCTTCACCCTGAAAATCCACATGCCATCGACTATGTTCGCCCCAGGTGGGGGAACCTCGTCGACGTAGGTGTCTGTGGACTTCCAGGAAGCCATCTCTGCGTCCATGGCTATCTGCCACTGAGAGGAGTACGGACCCGTGATCGCCTCTGCGTAAGTGCGTGGGGTCGGGATGTCCAGTGCATCCGAGTCTCCCTCAGGGCAAAGTAGCGAGGACGCGAGATGCGGTGCAGCGGCCGCGAGGCACTCAAGCTCAAACTGCCTGTCCTTAAGAACGTCACAGCCAAGGGCAAGCTCACCCCCGACGGACGGAGGACAGGAAGAGTCAAAAACAAGACTCGCAGCGTAGTCAAGGCGGCACAAAGCAGCAAAGTCAACAAGCTCAGCAACTAAG